GAGAAGAAGCTGGTGCCAAAATCATTATTCCTAGCAGTAATGTTTGGAATGATGAAAATGTCAAAATTAAAATTTATGTAGAAAAGTTGGCATAATGCTATAGCAACAACACAAAAATGACACAACAACAACCAAAACAACAGCAACAGCCACAACAACAGCAACAGCTACGACACTAACAACATGAACAACGACGACAGCTGCACAATTGGGCAATGGAAAGCCAGCGAAAAGATACAAAGCTGAGGAGGTAATATACAATCAATAATTTGCGTGTGTGCAACCATAAAGTTGATAATAACACTGCAACTATTGTACAATGAAAGTCAACTGAAGAATAAATCATTTTCTCACAAAATTACGTAATAAAATAAATTTTAAAAATTTCAATTTCTGAATAAAACTGAATTTCACAGAATTCCAGTCAGTTTCGGAACTTAACAAATAAAACATTTATTTTTTTACATGCCCACTTTAATTAAAGCACAATAGTCATTAACGTTTTTTACATTTTACACACACATATTCACACCACACACTCACACACACACACACACACAACTTGTTTTATGTATGGCCACTCTAAAAAGAATTAAAACACGAAGTTGACCTACCGTCCAAACGTCGTTGTTAGTTTGTCGCACTTGCGACCAGCATAATTAACAACTTGCCAAAATTTTTCTTTCATTTTTCGCGAGTGAAAAATTCAAATAACTTAGGCAACCCATCTGTGTTCATCGCAGGTGTGAACAGTCAGTCCGTATACACGAACTCGTACTGGTGTGTATGTTTGCGTCCCTTTGATTGTTAGCACGAGTCTTCATTCATAGATGTCTTCATTCATAGATAGTTGTCGTGCGTTCGATGAACTTGAAACATTTTATAAACAGGAAACAATACAAATATTTGAAAGAGAGAAACAAACGATCAAACAATACAATGTAGAAACAACGGTCAACATTTTTAAAATAATCAACAAACAAACTAGTGAAAAAAGAAAAAAAAATCAACGAACGAGAAAAAATTAAAGAACAGATAAATGAACCAATGAATGTATAAACGAACAACTAAATGAGCTAACAAATAATTAAATAAACGAACAAATGAATGAACATATGAACAAATAAACATGAAAGTAGACAAACAGACGAGGAAACGAACGGACGGACGGACGGATGTCAAAGCAGTCAACTGTCGTCGGGAGGCTGAAGAGCAACGTCACAGGAAACCAAATTAATTGAGAGATGATTTTCCAGCTATGCCTCGATGTATGTTTGAGTCTGCCTGTGAAGTTTTGTGCATTTGTGTGTCTGTGTACTTGTGTACCATTGTGTGGGTATATATTTTGTTCGTGTGTTTTTGTTTGAAGTACTTATATGTTTCTGTGTGATTGTATCCATCTTTTTATAACACACTACCTGATGTACGAATACGTACGTTTATGCATGTGTACTTATTTCTACACGTGTATGTGTCTGTCTGTACGCCTGTGTATGAGTGTCTGAGCTTATGGTGGAGGATGTTACAGCAAACAAATCTTGTTTTATTTGTTTTAGCTGCATTCGTTTTTTGACTTTAATTAAATTTTTATGATAGATAAAAATAAATAGCCAGTAAAGATAGCCAGTAGCGCTGAAACGCCGTTAAACTGCATTAATAATAATAATAGTAATAAATGTTTATGAAACTCAACACATTCTCCGCTCTTATTTTATTAGCCATATTTTATTTCGACTGCTTTTTATGTTTCGTTTTTGCACTAACATGCAATGCAAACATTGCCAAAAAACACACACATACGCACGCACATACACACACTCACACGCACATACACAAACATACACTCACACGCAAATTTTGCTATGAATGTTATAACTACTTTGAACTTCTATACGCAAACACAGTTGGTGTGTATTTATAGACGTATAGGCACTAATATGGATGTGACTGAGTATGGGAACGTCCGTGAGAATTCGCACGTGTGCGTGTAAAGCCGTAAAAATAATTTAATGTAGTCTGGGCCTGGAAGCTTGCCTCATTTAAAACCTAATTCCTTCCTTAATTCCACGTCCGCCATCAATAATGTATACGCTGAATGATGCATTAAATCATCTGCCACGGTCGTTGCGGCTTGGGTCTTTTCTTCTTTTTTTTTCACTCTAAGATTTTTCCAAATTTTTCCATCTTTTTAATATTTTTAACCGGAAGCAGGATGAAATACAATCAAGTCATGGCTGGTTAATTAAATTATTGTTATTGCATTCTGAATTATTTATTCATTTAATTTATTATAGGATATTTTGTATGGAAAGCCATCCCATCGTCTGTAAGCCCGCTGTTATAAAAGCTCTTTAATTATTCAGCACAGTACCCATGATGTTATTCTTTTTTCTCTCCACGATTTATCGCTGGAACTTTTAACGAGCTTAATAAATATTAATACTTTCGCGTGTTTTTAAATGACTGCGCATTTATTCATGTGCGTGTGTGTGCGTGTGTGTGTGTGTGTTCGTGTTTGTATGGCTGTTTGTCATTTTATGGATGATTGGTACTTTCATTTTTGGAGGATATTATTGTTGTTTATCAATTTGGGTTGCGTATGTGTGTTGCGTATGTGGTTAAATCTCTGTGATGGTACTTAGTGTTGTGAGTTTGCGGTGTTCACGTGTTTTTATGATCATCAGTTTGCAAGTATAAATCATAATCAATCATTAATAAGTCTGATAATCTAATAAATAATTCACATTTATTTGGGTCCGCAATGCTAAATAATGGCTCACTGCTGCTTACATTATAATTTTTATAAATGGGATTATTCCAATTATTAATTTTATGTGTCTCGGGTTTTGATGTGCGCAGATGCAACCAAAAAACCATTGCACGTTGACTGTGTTCAAATGCATGCTAAGCCAGCACTTGAAACTGTAAAGAACATTGAATTTATGGCATAGTAGAACTGGTTCATACACGTTTGTTTAAATGTTTCTATGTTATAAAATGCTTTGTAAGCTAAAAACATATACATATTTATAATCTTATATGTTATATAATACTTGAAATAAATCTAAATTACGTGGAAAAAATACCGCGCCAAAAATGAGAATTTATTTCCACAGATAAAAATTTAATTGAAATGATTTTCAGGGATTAAAATGAGATTTTTGTTGCTTCGAAATTTTTGTTTGTTTGTGTTTTATGTTTTTTCAATTTTGAAAAAAAAATTTTGAAAATAATTTTCTACTTTTTCAAAATCTTAAGAAAAACTTCTCATAATTTTTTTCTCTAAATAGTGATTTACGCCTTTGATAGCCTTAATAAAAATTTTTTGAAAGATAAGAAGTCCATTTCAAAATTATTAAACTGACATGAACTGATAGCGAAGAATTACAACACTTGAAGATAACAAACTTAACCATGGCAACAAAAAATTATTTAAACCAAAATGCGATATCTAGGATGATATGACTTATAAAAAGACTGCTGCTGATGATGATGTTGATATCACATGATAATGATAATCCTGTTATCATAATGATAATAAAATCATATGATATTGATAATGTTTCTATAGTATGATGATACTTATGTTATCATATGATGATGAATATGTTATTTAATGATGCTGTTGTTGTTATATGATGATGCAAATACCCACACACACACACACACACACACACACACACACACACACACACACACACACACACACACATACAGACACACACACAGATCATTAAAAAAAATGCCTCACTTCATCATCATTGTCGCTGGCAAGAAAAAAGAATTTCTTGCGTGCTATTGAATGCGACCATTAGTGTAAATGCTTCAACATTTTTCAAAATTTGATAACAAACTTTTCTTTTATTCTCTTCAAACTACTTAAAATATACGAGTTTATTCATTATTTCACACATAGTCAAAATTTTTAAACTTTTAATCACTCAACTTGAAAAAATCTTTCTAGCTAAATATTTTTAATGGCTATCTAAATATAAAGTCTCTTCCTCGTCCAACTGGTGGAAATTTGCCTTTCAAAGGTGAGTATATAGTGACATCCTAAAAAATATTGCGTAGCTTGAAAAACTCGTGCCTTATGAAACATAATGAAGCTAGTATTGGGACCGATCGAATGTTACCTAACGTTTCAAAGGGGCTGGCTTAAGATCTTGATACAGGTTGTGAAAAGAAATAACGTTACAGGGTTCTACAGGGTTTTGCAGTTTTTTTTAGGTTCGAGTTTTGTTACGTTACAAATTTTTACATACAAAATTTAAAAGATTAAAATTAATTAATTTAAAAGTTTAAATTAAAGCTTTTTTGGAATGATTTAGTATGTATAAAAAAAATTTAAAAACAAGTGATTTTTAGATTATTTTTTGGTACGTAGCGGAAGAAAATCGTTTGTTAGGGAGCTTGGGTGTGAATTTGGTGGGATCAAAAATGTTTTATCAAGTTGTGCAACACTGAAAAGCCCAACTGTGTAGAGGTTGTATTGCGATGCAGTTCTTGGTCATATGCATGCATGCATGGAAGGATAAAGAATATACATTCTATTCATACATTCTATTACAGAGGTCAAACATTTTTGTTCCCTTTTAATCTTTTTAGAGTATCTTTCTTCATTCATTCATTAGCGTTCGAAAAGTTTTATTGAATTATCTTTTTTCAGTCATTTAATTTTTATATTGTATGTTTTACATGCTGGACTATCAATCTCTGCTTTTCTTTAAATTCGATTTTTCTATAAATTAAAAAAATTACAAAAAACAGAAACGTGAAGAATGAGTGGTAGGGCGTTTTGTGTGATAAACGTTAGTGCTTAATTTGTTTGTTTGTTTGTTTGTTTCACCTCATTTTTTTGTGATATTTATTTGGTATATTATTTGTTGTTGTTGCAGTTGAATCACCTATCTCTATTATTAATGTTATTTTTATTACTGTTACAATTTCAACATTGTTGTTGTTGTTGTTATTGTTGTTGCTGTCATCACTTTTACTGCTGTCTCCATCATTATTTCCCGGACTATTATTTCCATTTATGTCATTCTCGTCTGTTCATGTTCATCCTCAACAACTCATTAGAAGATCATTCATTGCGAGTCGAAAACAAACGCTACTTGTGTTTGCTTAGCAACGCGTCAACTTATTTATATAGCGCTTTGTTTAAACGACCCAGGCCACCGAACGAATGACGTCACGCAAAAAGATGGCGCCGTGAAATTTTTACCGCGGGTTTGTCTAGGTCAGATCTGATCATCACCCCTTAGGGCATTGTTTAAAATAGGATTTGTTGTTCCTCATTTTGAATTAATTGCAGACAAAATTTATTCAGATAAAACCTACCTTTAATTAAACTTATCTAACGTTATTTTTTTTAACTTGTATGGTTTGCAATCGTTTAGCAAGAGTATCAAAAGTTCTATACAAGAGTTTACTAGCAGTTATAAAAATCAAACAAAATGTTTTATGCTTGCTTGCTTGTGTTTGGCTGTCAATTTTAAAATGTCAAAAATTCTTTGATTTTTTTATATGGAAGAACAAAATTCACAGAAAAATATTTTCATGTGATTTTTTTGACGTGAAAGAAAGATTTGTAGAGCAGGATTTGTTCAGCATAAAAAACCATTTACAATTTTTATAGGCACGCCGGCGTCTAATCCGAATATTAATAAAAAAAATGAAAATATTAAATTGAGGATAAAAATAATAGTTGATGAGACCATAATTTTGATTTTAAAATCATCATCATCGTCACCATCATCATCATCTTGACAACAACATCATCATTACCATCATCACCATCATCATCTAAATATCATAATAATCATTATTTAAACAATAACAACATCATAATCTAAACAACAACATCATAATCTTAACAACATCGCCCAACTACAACATTATCTGCGCAACCTATTTCGACGT